CCGTGAAAATGAGAGTTTTGAGTTAAAAATGACTTTATTCAAGGTACCTTTATAGAAACAAGAGTGTTTTGATGTAAATGTAATAAACTAGGAGTGAAAATGAGATATTTGAGTTAAAAATAACCATATTCAAGGTACCTTTGTAGGACGAGAGTGTGTTCATATAAAAAGTTAGAATCTTTGAGTGAAAACGAGTGTTTTTGGTTAAAAATGACCTTCTTCAAGGTACCTTTAAAGGAAATATAGTGTTTTGATGTAAAAACTTACAAACTTCGAGTGAAATTTAGTGTTTTGAATTCAAAATGACCTACAAGAGTTTTTTTTACATAAAAAGTGTTAAACTTTTAATCAAAATGAGAGTTTTGATTTAATACCTTTTGAAGTAACGAGAGTGTTTTGATGAGATGAAATAAAAATGAGATGAATGACTAATATAAGACGACTTTCAATCAAAGGAGAAAGAAAAAAAAATTCTATTCTGTAAGACTATAATTTATATAAACAGCATAACCAACTTTCATTTGGTAAAACCGTGTATTTAGTACATGGAAATGCTAAAGTTCAGACATGCAACTTATATGCAATCACTTGAAACAGAGTTATAAATTGCATGTAAATTATTGAGCGAGATGTTGAACCTTTTGATTGCTGCATGAATTTGAGGTGCTAGATACAAATCTGCCTGAAAGAGTAGCCAAAATATATTTTAGGAAATAATATATGCATAACAAAAGTAATTTGTAAGCACGTGTACTGCATTTAATAAGGGTCCAAGGTGCTATGCCACATATAACTCTGATCAAGGCCGAGATAACCGTAATTATTAATGCAAACAATTCTGATTCCTTGTCTAACATGCTTTGTGATGCCCTAAAATTATAAAAACAAAACAATATAAAATAAATAAATAAATAAATAAAGACATTGCACCTCTTTGAAAATAATTACATCATAAAATATTGAAGTACACTTAGCTACCTATCTAAGCTACAATACAAGTGTACAAGCAAACAAAGTGGATCAATCCATATTATATACATCTGCACTCTAATTCACTACTCAAGCGAATTTTTTTCCCTAAAACAGTTTTCTATTGACTTAAAGTTCTTGAATTAGCAATTTAAATAATTTGAATGCAATGATTCACATTATAATCGTATTTTCAGAGCTTCATCCTGATCTTTCAGTCAGTCTTAAACGAGCACTAGCTCTTTGAACCACGTCCATCTAACCTGGCTCGATTCTTACGAATATCCTGTTCCAGGTTATTCTTTTGCCCTTGATCTTGATTCTCAATTCATATAAGCTCTATCGCAGCAATTTTGCTCATTTTTGCTTACAAAACGTCCTAAAATTTTGGGTTCAGCTTTTCCATCTAAAAAGGGGAAAACCCAGTATTCATTATGTGTCTCATATGTCCTTATGAGTTCATCCTTATGGATTCAAACTCAACAATGCAATCGGATTTTGGATGCAAGAATGCAAGTGAACAACTTTACAAGACATCACCAATGTCAAATTTTCATATCTAGATATATAACATATTAAAACAAATGACCTCCGTATTAATTATTATATAATCTGAGTGATGAAAATATCAATTTGAGTTGCATTAGCCAAAAGTACAACACCATTATTATTTATTTTAAATTTCTTTCAGTTAATCACCTAAAATACGTGAAACATAATTCTTATTGTTATTCTCATTAAAGAGGATCATAATATATGCAGTGATCTTTCATACAACAACTTTACAATTGATCAATCAGGACCATCTCCAACATGTCAATTACAGAAAGTGTAAGATTACTTGCAAGTTCTTACTTTTAAATCATTATTATTTTTCTTCAAACCAGCCTAACTTTTCACTCTGTTTATTTTCTTCAGAAACTTGTTCAGCAGCTCTTCAGCGGGTAACACATCGTAAATTTCTAAAGCATTAGAAGAATTTCCATCATAAAATTCTCCATCATTTGCATTAAGTTACTGAGTACATGCTTCAATTTATTATATTAATTGAAATAGTACCAAACAAAAAGCAAAGAAAGCATCAAGTAATTAGTAGAAATAAAAACAACAAATCTGGAAAACTAGTTCAAGAAGACAAAGAAAGAGAAAAGAAACAGAAAATACCCTAAAAATAATAAAAGACTTCGATATGATCAAGCCTGCACAGCTGTACAGAAATGGGTTGATAATCAAGGAAGAGAACGATAACTCTACATGAACAACGGCTTAGAGAGGGAGAGAAATGAGGAGAGAGTGGCGGGGAGGGCGGTGGAATCCTAGGGTTTTGATAAGATAAACACTACAAAATATACAAAAATGGGTTGATGATCAAGAAAGAGAACCATACCTCTACAAACTCTGGTGATAATAGGTTTTGATTCTTGCAGACAGATAGATAAACTGAAATAAATGGGTTCTGAACTTCTGATTCTTGTAGATTTGGGCAAGTTCAGAGTAGAGAACGAGAATAGAGATGGAGGCGATTGGAAATCGCCTTTGAATCGTAGAGAGCGTATCGGGTGAGGAGAGAGAAAATTTGTGCAAAAATAATCTAAAATGTTTATATAGCTGAAACAAATTGGGCCGACTGTTTCATCCGCTACAGTGCTTTTTATTGGGCTACAGTGTTGAAACAACAAAAAACACCAATTTGGTGTTTCACTTTTGGGCCAAAATTTGGTACTGTTTAAAACATTGTTTTTTACTGTTTAAAACAAAACAAGTGCTACCAAACATATTTTTGGGCCTGAAATGAAACCCTGCAACAAAAACACCAAAGTAAAACACCAACCAAACAGGCCCTAAATTTTCAAGGTTCGATTGTCTTTTTATTGAAAACTTAATCAGAGTTGTTTTAAGCTCTATACTTCTCGTATAAATAACAAAACGTATCTCATACCTATAAAACGGATTTTAATATAATTTACAAAATTCACTTATAACAAATTATATGCATAAATTAATCAAACATCTACATTTGGGTACATTTGTGTTGCTTTGGTCAAAATAAACTGACATATTTAATTGATGTGTAAATTATAGTTTGAAATATTTTGAACTCATTTTTTTTTTTTTTACAATGAAATTATTGTAATATGGATAAGAAGATTCATTAGAGCGTTTGAATAAGAAGATTCATTAGAGCGTTTGAATGAAGGTAGAATTTGGAACTTTTAAAATTGCGTTATGAGTAAAGGTCGGATATTTTATATAAGAGTAATGCTATTGCAAGAGCGCTCGCAAAAAGCCTAAAGAGTTCTCGCTTATAAGCTACATGATTTCTTTTTTAAGGATTTGAGAAAGAGAATTAATTAATAAAAAATCATTTGTAATAAGGAAACAAATAATTATTTTTTTCTCCCTCTTCTCTCCACGTTCTCTCTTTCTCTCTCTTAGTTAATAACACCCTCAACCAATCTGTCTCTTTCTCTCTCTTGGTTAACCCTCAAAGAATATGTCTCTTTCTTTCTCATAGTTAAACTTTTGGTCTTATAAGCCACACAATTCCTTTTTTAGGGATTTGGGTGAGAGAATTAATTAAGAAAGAATATTTGTAATAAGAAAACAAATAATCATTTTTTTCTCTCTCTTCTGTCCACGTTCTCTCTTTCTCTCTCTTAGTTAATAACACCCTCAACCCTCAGGGCCAGTTTGGTGTGGTGGAATGAACTATAATGGAATGAGAATAGAAGTGGAAATGGAATGAGAATGGAATGGTCATTCATTTTGTTTGAAAGTAGAATGATTTTGATGGAATGACCATTCTCCAAGAATAGTGAGGAATGATGATTTCAACTTTAAAATTGGTACCAAACACGAGAATGGAAAAAAAAAAAAAAAAACCCATTCCATTCCACTTTCTTTTATTTCATTCCATCGTACCAAACTAATCCTCATCAAAGAATATATATCTTCCTTTCTCATAGTTAAACCTTTTGTCTTTCCGTTAATAGTCTCTCCACCTGCATTCTATCATTGGTTTCTTTCTTTATGTCATCAATCTGGTTACCGAAGATATGTGAGGTTTTGTTTTCTTGAAGGTCTGATTTTCTCTAAGTTATGAATCAAAAGATCCTTAAATAGATCGAGTCGTTTCCATTATCTCTTGATGAAAAAGAAATTAAATGGATATGAATGAGGGGGTGGAATAGTGTTTTAATTGTCTTCTTGGAAAATTACTGTCTAAGAATGCTGTCAACACTAATGGCTTGCATATATAAATAATGAGTAAGATTTGGGGTGCTCTTCAAGGAAGGGTGGCAATGATTGAAAAGAATATTTTTCGATTCAAGTTTGAACATGATTGATTCAAGCTCTTAGAGTTTTGATAGTCAATTATTTTCTTGTAGTAAAATAGGTGGATCAAAGATCAAATCTTCGACTAGGAAAAACAAAAAAAAAAAAAAAAACCAATCTTCAATACACTAAGTTTTTGGGTGCAGTTAGACAAAAAATCCAATCTTCAATATAGCACTCTTATGGTATGAGGATATATACAACTTGGAGAAAGAGACGGATTGATTGAGGGTGTTAACTAAGAGAGAAAAGAGAGAAAAAATGATTATTTGTTTCTTTATTATAAATGATTCTTTTTTAATTAATTCTTTCAAATCCCTAAAAAATGAATAGTGTGACTTATAAGTGAAAACTCTTTACACTTTTTGTGTGATGTTATAGTAAAATTAGCTATAAAAATATTTTAAAAAATTTATCATCAAATAATTTTTTTAAAAAAATTGATTATAAAAAGCACTTAGTGTAACCAAAAACCTGTCATGCTTTTTACACATGTAATTTTTTTTACTGGTTTATTAATAAAAGATATTTTTTTTTTATTACACGGGCAACTAATTCAACGGTCTTCTCTATTTGCCAGGATAGATTTTCTTCGCTCAACATGTCACACAGAGTCAAAACAAATAGTTTATTTTCTTTAGTTTTCTTTTCCTGTATTTTCTCAGCAACCAAGCAGTACATTAGGCTCTTAACAATTGTGAACCCGGCCTGGTCCGACCCAAAATGTATATCAATGTATGTAACCATTGTACGACGCGAAAGGAGAGATGGAAGCTTTCAACTTCAATAGAACCAACAAGTGGAAGAAGAGACCCTCTCACAGATTCTCACTCCTCCCAATCTCTCTCCTCACCCTCCTCTTCGCTCTCCTCCTCTTCATCTCCTACAGGCACTTTTCCAATTCCCTCCTTCCTATTTCAAAGAATTCGGAACCAGCCCAATTGCCCCAATGCAGGTCACAGAAAACCCTAGGAGAGAAGTTTCTCTGGTACGCCCCCCACAGTGGGTTCAGCAACCAGTTGTCCGAGTTCAAGAACGCTATTTTGATGGCTGCGATACTCAATCGAACCCTAATCGTCCCTCCGATTCTGGATCACCATGCGGTTGCTCTCGGCAGTTGCCCCAAATTTAGGGTTTCGAGCCCCAAAGAGCTTCGATTTTCTGTCTGGAATCACATCATTGAGCTCCTTCAGAATCACAGGCAAGTAACTTTTGAGCTTTTTTACATGGTTATGTATATATATTCCCGGGTTGAACCTACAAAACATTGAAGATTGGATTTTTTGTTTTGGGATATGCACTAAAGATTGGATCTTTGTGTGATTAGAACCTTTTAACTTTCATGCCAAAACATGAACGCACTTGGATAGAACTTTTAATTTTGCAATAATTGGTTCTCATTTCAGTTGGATCTTCTTTAGTTTTCGTGTTTATAGCACCTTTTCTTTTTGTGTGACATAATTATTCGGGAAATTATTGAATTTCTAATAATTCTACATTTTAAAGTTTTTTTTGGGTTGTCTCTGTTTATCATAAAGATGTCATTAGATTTTTCTTTTTTGCACATCAATGCTTGATTTAGGACCATGAATATTTACTTTCTTGTGGTTGCAGGTACATATCCATGGCTGACATAATTGATCTTTCATCACTAGTGTCTGATTATGCAGTTCGGGTAATTGATTTTAGAGTCTTTGTATCTACGTGGTGCGGGGTGAACATGGACTTCGCTTGCTTTAATGACTCAAAAATTCAGTACTCTTTGTTTGACACCCTAAAGCAATGTGGGTCTCTACTATCTGGGTACAATGGTAATGTAAATAATTGTTTGTATGCTTTAGATGAAGATTGCAGAACAACAGTTTGGACATACCAAAAAGGTGGTGAAGATGGGTTACCAGACTTATTTCAACCCGATGAGCAACTTAAGAGGAAAAAGAAAATTTCATACTTTAGGAGACGTCAAGATGTATATAAGACCCTTGGACCGGGTTCCAGATCTGAATTGGCCACTGTTTTGGCATTTGGAAGCCTTTTTACTGCCCCATATAAAGGTACTGAGCTATATATTGATATCCATGAAACTCCAAGAGATCGAAGAGTACAATCTTTGATTGAGAAAATTGAATTTCTGCCATTTGTCCCTGAAATCATAAGCGCGGGGAAGGAGTTTGCTTTACAGACAATTAAAGCTCCTTTTCTGTGTGCACAACTTAGATTGTTAGATGGACAGTTTAAGAACCACTGGGAGGCTACTTTTCTGGGGTTAAAACAAAAGATAGAATCATTAAAGCAAAAACATTCTCAGCCAATTCCTATATTCTTGATGACTGATCTTCCTAAGGGTAATTGGACTAAGAGTTACTTGGGGGATTTAGAAAGAGATTCTGATGGGTTTAAGCTGTATTTTCTGAGAGATGAAGAAGAGTTAGTAATAAGAACTGCAAAGAATCTTGCTGCTGCTGGGCATGGCATGAAGTTTGGGCTTGGTCCGAGAAGTGTTGACAAGATGGAGAAGCATTGCCGTAGTCAAATGTTTCCTGGTATACTTCTATACATAGAAGAAGCTGTTTGCAGCTGCGCTTCACTTGGTTTTGTCGGGACTGCTGGATCAACTATTGCTGAGAGTATAGAACTGATGAGAAAATATGACATATGTTCTAGTCAAAGTCACACTAAATTGTAGCTATTGTTGGCTTTCTGTATGATGGATTCAGATTCATTTAAGATGGACTTCGTCTTCTCATTTCAGAGATAAATATCACCAGTTGCAAGTACAACTAAAAATCTGGTCACACACATTGGATGATGCAAGCTTGAAAAGTTTGAGCCTTCTATATTTTTGTGGTGGAAGTGAAACATAAAGCGAGAGCATTCTTCTGTCAATTAGTTCTAAATCATGATTCTTAACAACTCAGCCAGCAGGAGTCGGCAGAAATTTTTTTTGGTTCAAGGGATGGTACCAATTGACCAAGTCATTGGAAATGATAGTATGAGGGAGCTGCAGTTCTTATAGGATGGACGTTCCCTACCTTTTGACAAGATTCATACGCAAAACAAAGAATTCTGCGCAATCAGATTTGAAAGGTAATGTTTTTGTTAGTGGTTTCAAATGTGTGCTTCACTATTTGAACTATCCCAATTAAGTTGGAGCTAGTGAGAGTATTTATATCACTCTAACGGGATTGATTGAAGTATATCTAGTTTAAGTATACTGTGTGAAATTACTTAATATATTTGGATTTTCCTAATATGATTTGCATAAGATGTTTGTAATATAGCATATTGAGTTTTCTTTCTGTGATCAATGTCTTGGGCATAGGCCATGGAGCAACTAGAGCATCAAATCCTTCCCTTATTACTGAAATTTTTCGGATCCATTCGATTGACATCCCAGCTTGATGAAAGTTGAAAAAAGTTTTTGGAGACTGATTTGCAATAGGAAGAGTCTTTTTAGATTTATTGTTGCTGTGGTTTTGAAATGGCATCGGCGTGCTTCTTAAGTTGCCCATTGCTCATATACTATTTCCATTTTAAAATAAAGATTGTTGATATGTTTATTATTTTTTTTCTGAATTATTATTATTTTTTTATCCCTCCATATTTTAAGTACAGACTCGGGGAACCTCTTCTAAATAAGATTAAGCTGAGTCGATAATAGTCACTGCACTCTGTAGAGTTGGTTTCCTTGAGGTTTGAGCAACTGCTTCTTTAGTAAAGTATAGAAACCCAGCCTATCCTCTTAAACTTGTCAGACATATTAAACATGAGAGGCCAACATCTACTAGAGACATCTTCACTTCTTTATAGAGATTGTTCTCAAAGTTCGGGTATGATTGATATTGTGAAGATCATTCTCAAAGCTGGAGTAATGATATTTGGAGATTACCAAATTATCTGAGGAATCTTGCTGTTTTTTAACAATGACTTCCACGGGAATTCTCACATGATCTTCCCGAGTGCTGACACTTGAAACCGTGCAATAGCTGCCAAGATCCCTGACATGTTTTATAGTTTGTTGACATGAAAGTGTGAAACGTTTTGCTCTCGAGTGCAATATATCAAGACCTGGACCTAAATTGCCTGAACAACATGGATGATAGAGAACCTGATATCTTTCATTGCACCTATGTTGGTGGACTTGTCTTTAAAGATTTTGAACCCAGAATACAAGTTTTTTATTCTGCTTTAACAAGAGAAACTATCCTTGCCTCTACCTTGCAGAACTCTGTCAAAAATCCGACAGCAAATCAAATCTTCTTCAACTCCTGAGCTCTCTTTATGCCACAACCTTCCTTCCTTTTCCCCTTCTCTGACATGCCTTTCTTTTCTGTAGGAAAAAGAGAGAGAAAAAAAAAGGTTTGTGTTGATGAAGGAATGTTGAATTGCTTATGTCACCCCTGATTAGGGCTGTGAGGAGTAGTGTGTGTGTGTGTGTGGTTTTTTTATTTTTAGTTTTTTACTTGTGTTGGGGAAGGGGTTGATGTGTCACTTTACCTTTCAATTCGAACCAGTTTGGCTGTTGAAAAGGGCCCTGCTAATTAGTTGCATGGTTGTGTGGTTCACTAATTTGTGGTGTCAATTGAAAAACTTGAAGGACTTCAGTCACACTGGAATCTGCGTAGCTTATAGCTTGTTTTCTGAACTACCCCTATTCAATATCTAGTTGTCTCATCCAAATATTGTGAAACTCAATTCATCTACTGGAGTCATACGTCTGCCATCCATCCCGTATGTGTTTATTTGTTTTCTACCCATTGCTCTTTCAGTTGTGTTGTGCAGAGTGTTGTCAAGGCATACCTAAGCTCCAGTCTCATACAATCGCAATACTTGCGTCTATTGTGTGTCCAGGTGTGCCTTTGACAACATTTGTGCCTTTTGTATGGAGTATGAATATGCTTTAATAGTAATTTAAATTTTCAATTATGCGCCTTGCTTCACTCAGGCGCGCACCATGAGCTTTTGCAATGTCTTGTCAGATTCCCCTGCTTCCTTCAAAGTTCAAACTACTTAGAAAAATTTTCTTTATCAAAATCTTTCCCCTCGGTAAAAGGTAAGTGCAAAAATGGAGTGTGATTCTTTTTCATGTTCCAATCGCAAATTTTCAATTAATTTCTTTTGAAATGTTTGTCCATATCAAATGTGTATTGAGTTCTTATATGGTTGCTAATTTCGTTTTTTTGCAGAATAGTACACCATATATATATATATATATATATAAATACATATATGATTTTCTGGTTAAGGCTTGAACAGATTTCATTAATCAATATCGAATAGGCTTAATGGCTCAACTTCTTGATTGGTCTTTTGAATGAGACTCTTTTGATGATGCAGTGGTCTTGACTTAACCCAAAAAACAAAAAAAACACAAAAAAAAAAAATACGCCCACACGCACACTTGACTAATTCGTCTATCCAATCTATTTTCGTCACCCCATGGTTGAATTGCTTTTTGAAATCTACAGACCCCGCCAATTCCATTGACTGATTTGTGAATCCAATTTTTATTTTTTGTTCCCTTCAATTTTGTGTTCACGATCCCTAGTGAAATGTAAAAAAGTCGGGCCATTCACATTATAGGAGTTAAATATGTCCGACTTTCGGATTCTATATGATTTTGCAATGTAAAAGCAATCCAATTGAAAGGTTCAATTATTTACATTTTCTATTGCCATTTCCTACATATCCAAAAATGTTTTTGTGGCAGTTTGTGAGTAAATGAATTTTTGTTTACAAAACAAAAGAATATTCAAGGGATTGATGAAAATAATTAGGAATCGTACGTTGGAGTGTCGCAAAAATACAAGTCATATCAATATTGTATAATGCATAATGGCATTCAAACATTGTTTCCAAGGCAGAAGTGCACTAAACGCCTTATCCATTAGAGGTCTCACAATTGAGTCTCTCCAACTTAAAAAAAAAAAAAAAAAAAAATCACCTACAAGGCTATTTAAGTTAGGCAAAATTACATAAGAACCTTTACTAGTTAAAATAAGATTTGAAATAAAAATAAATTTTAAAATTTTAAACTTCAAAAAGAATAACTATTGTGTAAGCTTGATTGATTTTTTAATTGACTTTAATAAACTAGTTCGGAGAAATTGTAAATCAAACAGATTCACATACAATTTTTTAATTTTTATATTTCAAAAAATAGAAAATTATTCTTAGAATAATGAAGGAACGTATGTTTCTTGAATAATATTTTTGGGTACTTAGTTTAATAACAAATCTTCAATAAGAGGTCCCGAATGATTAGTTGATAGAATGATTTTTGTGAATTTATGGTTAAAGATTTGGATTTTTCATCAATTTGCTGGTTTTATTTAGTGTAGAAAAAGAAAAGAGTGAACAAACATTGTTTGATTAGGAGTTGTTGAGGTTTTTCGAAGTTATTAGAATTGATTTTAAAAAGATAAATATAACAAATAGAATAGGAGGCTAATTTTGTTTTGATGAAAAATATTTTCTTACTTTTTTTTTGTTAATATATATTTTTTAATGTTTAGGGGCCTATAAAATATCTTATCAAAAATTAATGAGTAAAGTTAGTTTTATTAAATTTAAATATTTTTAACTAAATATTTTATCACAATCAAATATCATAAAATAAAAAATATATATTTAAAAATATATATTAAAAAAAGGTTGAAGAGGAAGAGTTGCTTTTCGCATCCCAAAAAAAAAATCAAACACGTGGTTTTTGTGAGAATAATTAGGTCGGAGAGCTAAAAGTTACTAAATTGGTCGCGTGTAAAATATGTCTAACGGAGTGTGGTGTGTTGTACGTGTGTATTTTGCATATGAGACAGGTTATGTATATGTATAGATATTGTGTAACGACTGTACAACGGACCTCGTTGACGTTATTCTCCATACACAAGCCGGTACCATCTCCCCCTCTCTTTGTTGCAAGAGTAAACTTTAACCATATATATATATATATATATATGTATATACATGCACATACAGATACATTTAGATAGATTGTGGTAATTAGGGTTTGTGTATATTGTTATCTGGTAGAAATGGAGGGATTGGATCAGCTAGCTCATGAAAGAGAAAGGACTCTGTTCGATGTTGATGCGATGAAGATCGTTTGGGCCGGTTCTCGCCACGCCTTCCAACTCTCCGATCGCATTTCCAAACTTGTTGCTGCCGATCCGGTTCCTCCCTCTTTCTCTCTCTAATTTTTATTTTATTTTGGTTTGAAGTTGATTCATAGCTGTTCTTATATTTGTCTTGTTTTTAACGCCTGATTTTTAACAATTAATTTGAAATTTCGTTTTGTAGTATTAATTTAGGAGCTTTTGATTGGTGAAATTTGAGAAAGCAATTTTGGTTTTTGATGGTTTTTGGTAACTTCAATTTAGATGATTATCTACCAGCACTAATGGAATCAAAACTGCTCAATTACTGAAGTATCTGACTCTGGGGCATTGTTAGTTAGGAATATGTAGTGATTTTATGAAGCCAATTTTTATATATGATTTTCTGAAGACAATTTTGCTTTTTATTCGCAATTGTAATTGTTAAAAATTGGTATTGTTGATGACAGATTAACTATTTAACTAGCTGATTTCTGATTCAGGGCATTTTGTAGTATTTTTTAGTTGGTTGAAATTAGGTGGATTACCAATGGGTCAGCGGCCTAGTGGTATCAGTCTCTTACTTTTCAAAAGGAGGTGAGGGGTTCAAGTCTCAGAAGAGACAAGTGTGTGTGAGTGCCAACTAGGAAAAAAAAAAAAAAAATAGGTGGATTTTTTCAGAACATATTCCTTTTTGATATCCAACTGCAATCAAATTTGGCTAGCGACTACAATCAACTAGGATGTGCCTGTGTGTTGCACAAGAATGAATATAATTTGTCCGTTGTCAAAATTTAGAATAAAAATTAGAATCTATAGAATTGATTTGAGGACTTGGAGCATAGTGATGAGCAAACACTAAGGGCCTGTTTGGTATGCGTTTTGTTTTTGTCTGCCGAAATGTTTCGTGAATAGTGGCAAAAAATCGATACGCCAATTTGGTGTTTTTACATGTTTCAGCACTATAGCAAGGTATTGTAGCGAAGAACAGTAAAAAAAAAAATTTTTAAATGAGAAACTCTTAAATTGCATTTTAAAACTAACCATTATAATTTTCAAACTTGCAACACTTTTTTACCAAATTGCTTCCAAAAATCTTACAACAAATAGACGTTACCAAACACACTTTTGATTACTATTCAAAACACTCCAAAACAAAATACTTGTTTTGTTTCGGGTTAAAACAAAACTCAAACCAAACAGGGCCTTAGTTTGCTAATAAGAGCTTCCATGGTTTGTTGTTCACCACAATCGTTTGAAAGTAGTTTACACGAAGATCAGATAGGATGCTATTCGTTACTAGAATGTTTCATATCATTATTATCATCATCCTTTCGTTATTCCCATTGAATGTTTTATATGGTTTTCATAATTTTCTTTTGTACATATGTGCCTTTTTGTATCTGGTTTTTGCTATTTATTATCTTGCTTTGGTATTTAGGCATTCCAAAAGGATAGCAGACCTATGCTTAGTAGAAAGGAGTTGTTTAAGAACACTCTCAGAAAAGCAACATATGCATGGAAACGGATCATTGAGCTTCGTCTTTCTGGTATGTTTTCATCCTGGGGTGTTTTGATAATGTCAAATAACCTTGATTTTTATTTTGAGTTTGTTGGGGATTAAAGGACTGATTAACTTTTATAGTATACATGGCATGGTTATTTTATGTTTATTTGTCTTTCTATAATCTGATCAAAATGCAAGTTTTATTATTACAGAAGAGGAAGCATCCAAATTAAGATTTTATGTTGACGAACCTGCTTTTACAGATCTTCATTGGGTAACTTCTAATTTAGCCTCTTTGTGCCTTTGTAACGTTTTGTTTTCCTCTTATTCATAATAAAGATGCATTGGTACACCATACACCTGTGGCAAGATAATAACTGGGCATTTGTTAACTTGCTTGTCAAACTAATTTTTAAAATTTGGAGTTAAACTAGTTGAAGTTCTGCTTTTAGGTAAAAAAAAAAATAGTGGAATTAGTGACTGTAATGCGTCTCTCCTGTGTTTATTGTCTTATCTTTTTTTATAGGGAATGTTTGTACCTGTTATAAAAGGACAAGGAACTGAGGAACAGCAACAGAAATGGTTGCCATTGGCATACAAGATGCAAATAATTGGCTGTTATGCTCAAACTGAACTTGGTCATGGCTCCAACGTTCAAGGGCTTGAAACCACTGCAACATTTGACCCTAAAACGGATGAATTTATCATTCATAGTCCTACACTAACTTCAAGCAAGGTCAGTAAAATAATTATGACAGTGTTTACATGATTCGTGGAGAAATGTTGGTTAAAATTATGTACTCCTAAAAAAATTTAAGATATTCATGAGATAGAGAAGAGTTGTTTCCCCCTCCAGCTAAGGATATGAGTGAAAAAACCAGTAGAGACAAATACTTAACTGATATGTATAAAATGAGCTTGGTCATGGCTTGAATGTTCAAGGGCTTGAAACCACTGCAACGCTTGATCCTAAAATGGATGAAATTATCATTCATTGTCCTACAATGACTTCAAGCAAGGTGAGGACACAGAAGTTCTTACAACATTTTTTAAGAAATATGGGTTAAGATTATATATTTATTGAAAAGTATAATTTAGCATACTCGTCAGATAGTATAGAGTCATTCTTTCCCCAATAGTTTAGGATATCTCAAGTGATAAACCAGCAGATGCCTTTGACCCTTTCTGTGTGTATCTGCCATGTATAGTCCTAATTGGTTGCTGTCAATTAGTTATATATAGCTACTTTCAGAATGGCGAATTCCTTTCTTTGTCGACATTTTAATGTTTCATTGATTGAACTTTCTCAGATTAGGTTCTCACAGTTTTTACTTAACTGTTGTAAATAGTGGTGGCCTGGTGGACTGGGTAAAGTTTCCACACATGCTGTTGTATTTGCGCGTCTTATAACAGATGGTCAGGACCATGGAGTGCATGGTAGGTACCAAGTCCATTGTTCTAAATTTGAAGTGCGAAAAATGATCTCCTTATTTTGCAATAGGTACTTAAGTCCTATGAGTAACTATTTTGATCATTTCTTTGTGAATAAATAATGTTTGTAGGTTTCATTGTCCAATTACGGAGCTTAGATGATCACTCACCCCTTCCTGGCATAACTGTTGGTGATATTGGGATGAAATTTGGAAATGGGGCATACAACACTATGGACAATGGGGTATTAAGATTTGATCATGTGAGAATCCCAAGGAATCAAATGTTGATGAGGTATATTCATTCAACTTTTTACATAAGTGACTCTGTTATGTTTTCATTAGTTGGCTTGTAACTTTTCAGAATATGTCATCCTTTTGATGGGGGGGCTAAGGTTTTAAAGGTATTTCCTTTAAATTGGCTGTGTTGAGAATTGACGGCTGTTAAATTCCTTCAAGTTTTTCCTAGGCTTGGTAAAATACATAAAGAACCCTCATAAAATTTTCAGGATAATGGGTTGTTCTTCACTGGGCTTGTTTGTCAGGAACTTTAGTGATGGTTTTGTAATAGAAGAAGTGTTTTTTATTTCTAGATAAACTGTCAATATTGCAGGAGTATGTTGAGAATAGGAATACTTGAATGTTTATCACAAACTGTGGGGTTGTAACTTACCATACATTAGCCCTTAATATATCCATATAATCAAAACCTGCTTTGTTACTATCTTCTGGATGAGGGAAGAGAAGTTCAAAGATGGATAGAAGCCTTGTATTTCTGTTTGGGAAGGAGTGAGTAGAGACTGGACCTTGAGAAAAATAGGGGAAAACTAAAGAGATGAAACAAGTTGCCTCACTTTTCATACCCAACTCTACCAACTTCAAAGGGATCTGTGCCGAAGCACCTAATTGACAAGCATATAAAGGATGTTAAACTTGTATAAACATGCACATACACATTGGGTTACTCATAGAATTATTATCTAAATTTACTTATACTCTTCAAATACCCAGTATATGTAATTGTTGCTACAGTCACTATGATTTCCATTCTGAAGTTCATTTTTTAGAATATCAGGGTTTCACAGGTTTCAAGAGAAGGAAAATATTTGCAGTCCAATGTTCCCCGGCAACTACTTTATGGGACAATGGTCTTTGTGAGACAAGCAATTGTAGCTGATGCTTCCAGTGCTTTATCACGGGCTGTTTGTATTGCTACAAGGTACAGTGCTGTTCGTAGACAATTTGGCTTGCAGGAAAATGGTCTTGAGACCCAGGTACTTTAAGAAAACCTTCATTTTTAAACCATTAAGGAATTTAACTTGCGTCAGTGATAGAATACGCTGGTTCAATATCCTTTTGTGTGTGCACTGTTGTAAATCTTACTTTGATACTCAAATTTTTAGTGCCTTGTGTGATGGAATTGCAACTGAAATGATCAAAGTCACCTCTTTACTAATTGCAAGAACATAAATCATGCTCAATCAAATCTACTCTTGATTTTTCTTGCCTAAATATGAACTGGTTAGGAAGATCCTATTGATGCTGGTAATGTAACTAAAATTTTGATAGAAAATTGAATGATATCTGATTTATTTATTTATTTTAATTTCTTAGTCGAAGTAGAAAGTTTTTAATTGAAATTTGATTTTGGAAGGATGCCTTTGGAAGTCCTCGGTTGTTTGGATCGATGCTCTGTTGACTGGACTTGGGAATAGTGATTTCCGGTGTCTGCAAGAGTTGTCTGCTATGAAGTGATTGTTTGAGAATATTGTAAGCTGTGTTGTTGAGCCCAAAAGCTCATGGCATTTCTGAAATTTGGAGTCAAATATGTAGTAAGTTAAACATGAAGAATGGACCCTTTTGGGCCTTTTCCTCTATAAATAGATGGCGAACCTTCTGTTACATGTTTTGTACAAATGCTATTTTCTTGTATCTCCTCTGTGGGTGGTTTTACACTCTTAACTTTGGAATTCACTAATCCTTGATTTTGGTTTGCATTACACTAATTTTGTGCAAGTCGGACTGTCTGCTACTTGAAAATATATTTTTCTTACTAATCTTTTTTTATTTTTTATTTTTTATTTTATTATTATTTTTATAAGTATATTTTTTTTACTAATCCATTGCTCGTTTCCCTTTTTGTTTCTAGTTCTGGAACCCAGTTCTACTAATTGTTACAGAAATTTTACATCCTCTGTTCTTCTTCAACCTCCTTGAACACTATGCCTATTTCTACCCAAATTCCCTCTTAATCTGTAATTTGATATTTCTTACACTTGATACTGATTCTATTCTAATTTCGTCAATAAACCTAAAATTCTAGGTGACATTTCAAATTTATAGGACCATTTCAATAAATCATTCTTATCTGTTTATAGAGGCAATAAGATAGTCATCCATCTCTCAAATTATATTCAAAATACTGAAATTCATAATATCATCAGTCAGTGTAATTGCAATCTTGAGATATATATTATCCGTTTTGCATTTATATGCATTTCTGTTGCATTGAATTGGCTATAGTGTATTGGGTGCATCTATGTGTCTGGGATTTGTATTCCTCCAACCCTTGTATATTAGGATATGGGGATTGGCTAAGAAGTTTATGCTCATTAAGCATGGAACTTGGGACTTGTGTCACTTGTCATTTATCAAATAATTAAAAATTGATTTCTATATGAGCAATGGACACATATATACTCCTAGAAATATGTAATTTGATAAGCAAGTGGCAATTATACTCCTATATGAAGAGAAGCCTCCTTGGTCACTAAACTAGGTACGTGCTAGAGTTTAAAATAAAGGAGGGAAATATATAAACAGGAAAACAGTACTGCTATCTCTCTCTCTGTTTTCTACTTTCTCTAGAAACTACTGACACCTACAGTTGACATTTGACATGTATCTGCTTGCTACCCGCACTACTTTGACTTGTGAATCTTGCAATTTATATCGAATATGCAACCACAGTGCCTTCCCATATTTAAAAGGGTACATTTTGGTCCCTGCAATGAGCGCTCATGGAATAATATTACGACAATTATATGATAATTAGAAATTATTTTGTTTTTCAGAAACATAGGGCATATAGTCTTGATGTGATATTTTTTAAAATATGAGCTGTAGGTTACTTCTAGAAATTTATGCTCTTACCATCTTTTAACGTAATCAATGCTTCTGCTGCCTGCTTGGTCTTTAGGTAATTGATTACAAAACTCAGCAAAGTAGGCTCTTTCCTTTGCTGGCTTCAGCTTATGCTTTCAGATTTGTTAGCGAGTGGCTAAAATGGTTATATACGGATGTGACCCAAAGATCGCAAGCCAATGATTTCTCGACACTGCCAGAGGCTCATGCATGCACTGCAGGGTTGAAGTCTTTAACTACTACTGCCACTGCTGTAAGTGATGATTGGTTGATTATGAACTTTGTTATCTTTAGTGATTGTTCTCTCTCTCTCTCTCTCTCTCTCTTTCTTTGTGGAAGGTCTTAGTTTTTTATATTTGTTTAGTGTTTGAGGTACACACACATATATTTATATATCAAATTAATGAAAGAAATTTTTTGGTTAATATGCTTGTAATATGATGAAAAAAATTGATGTGTCTGTGTAGCCTTGGTTTTTTAGTCTAAGTAGTTCCAAATTGGTTTTTATTTGCCTAATACTATTTTGTGACCTATGGATACCAACTGGGCGAACCTTCTCTTTTTCCTTGGCAAGAAACTTGCACGCCCATTTTCCCCTATGGGGACTTGAACCCTCACCTTCCACTTTGGGAGGTAATGGAAAAACCACTAGGCTACAACCTTTGGTCAATTGGGCCAACTTTATGATGTCTTGATTTTTGTTATCAAGGTTCACCCAGTTGCTTTGAGCTTTGATTTTAAATCTATCAAAAATAATGTGTTGTATATAATTTTCACTTTGCGTGTATCTGACCACATAGTACATATACGCAGCAGAGCCCTAGGATCCTACTGCCTAGGAACTTAAGTTTGTATGTTCTATTTCACTCCCTTATGGGGGTTCTTTAACAATATTTATCGATGAAATGTAAAGTTTTCCATGTGGACCTATAAAATGAGTAGTGTTTTCCATATAACTGCATTTGTGTTTTTTTTTTTTTTTTTTGGTTGGTTGCTATAATGACAACCATGCCTGTGAATGTATCAATGCATTTTGTGTTATGACTATCACTTTTTATATAGAATGCTGTTTAATTGAATACCATTCACTTCCATTGCAGGATGGGATTGAAGAATGCCGTAAATTATGTGGTGGCCATGGTTACCTTTGTAGCAGTGGGCTTCCTGAATTATTTGCAGTTTATGTTCCAGCCTGTACATACGAAGGAGACAACATTGTGCTACTTCTACAGGTATATACGTCTTGTGGGTTATTAAATTATTCTTCTTTACTAATTTTTATGTTTCATTTTGTATGCTTAATATGTCAAGTGTACTGAGATGCATACGTTTATTGACATGCTGCATTGTCTTCCTACTTCATTGTAAATAAGATTTTCTTTCTTCAAATAAAACTACTTTTGGAGGATTTTGCATAATTATAAGCAGTTGAGCAGGTGGACAAATAATGTTATCATTGTCAAAGGAGTGCTTCAAAACTCGTCATAATTTTGTTAAATATTTATGCTACTTGTGTAGGAGTATTAACTCATTGTCACTTCACATAATTCAAATTTTTGATTGCAACTATCACTCTGATCCTGCCTGACCCAATCAGGGCCATGCGAAACTTCAGGCTTGACCTTTGTTTCAGAAATTAACCCCCTCCTCCCTTCTCTTCTTTCCCCCTAATATTGCATTATTACCGTAGAAATTGAAATTCATTAGAAATGAGGATAATAGAGAAGTTCATAGTTTTACTTTACAATTTGTTAAAGTGTTGTTCAGCATAATCCACATCTAGCCTTGTTCGGAACTTAAGGCAAGAGTAGATTTTGTGGTATATGTATGTACTTGTATGTGAAAAAAGTTCAGATAAAAGCATTATCTGCTTAGCACTATGATTGTGTCTTGTATGAGTCAACAAAATTATAACTAATACATCGTTTTTGGCCTACTAGGATTGAGATATTATTGTACCTTAGTCATTCCATACTGTGGACTTGTATGTATAGATTGAATGAGGTGTGTGTAGAGTTGTTGATACGTAGTTTTAATCCTGATGTCAACTGAGTGATACTTATTTCATTAGGGACGGCTTGGGTTGGCCACCATTAAATTTATGTTTGCTGGCATCCTAAAGTGTGTTGACGTTCTACTTAAAATTACTCTTGTAGGCTGCAAGGTTTCTTATGAAGACTGTTACTCAGCTGGGATCTGGAAAAAAACCTGTTGGGACAACGGCTTATATGGGGCGAACGGAACTCTTGGTTCAATGTCATTGCAATGTCCAAAGGGGTATTGTCCTTTCCTGAGTGCTGCTTTATGCTCATTGCCTTCAAGTTTTCATGCAGAATGGTTAAAAAGAAACATGGATATTTTGCCTCTAGAAGTCTGCTCAGAGCCTTATACTACAACCTTATCTTACTCGATTAAAACCCAAAATGTCAAGTCTGTAAGACAACCTAATGGGTCACTCTTCAAAGAGGATAACAGCTACCACACTTGCACTCGCACTTGCAATCGTAGCTTAATAAATTTTTCTTTCCTTCATGGGCTGCAGCTGAAGATTGGTTAAAGCCTAGTGTAATATTGGAAGCATTTGAAGCAAGGTCGGCTAGAATGTCTGTTGCCTGTGCTCAAAAACTAAGCAAATTTACAAATTATGAAGAAGGTAATTCTTTCTGCTTTGAAGGATATCAAGTTTTCTACTTTTTCTATTTTCTCTTCTACCAAATTTGATCAATTGAATTGATGACTATTTACATGGGGATGGTGCGAGTAAGCACTGCCGTCCTAGCCAGTTTCTGTCATTTACTTATTTTCCATTATTAAGATTTAGTATGATTCCTGACCAACATTATCCGATAGTCTTAAAGAACGCATACATTATCGGCATTTGATTTACCCATATATATCATATGATACCTCTTGATGTGTTGTTTTTTCTTCCATGCATGCCACATGACCAAAGTCACACTGAAGGATTTTTCCTGAACTTATTTATGCATATACTAGATGTATTTATTTTAAAACTTCACTTCCTTTCAGGATTTGCAGAACTCTCAGCTGATCTGGTTGGGGCAGCAGTTGCTCATTGCCAATTAATCGTTGTTTCCAAGTAAGCTTCATCTTAAGAGGGATCCAGACCTTGTTTCTTAAACTAGAAAAATAAATTAAATTTTCTCCCACATTTCTGCGTCATTTTAGAGTCAGTGACTTGGCACTTAAAGAAAACAGAATTAAAAGCTGAAACACATCATTGTTTGATCATTCTCTCTGCTTTTTCGTTACAAAAACCTTCGTTCTCTTTCAGGTTCATTGAAAAATTGCAACAAGATATTACTGGAAAAGGGGTCAAACAACAGTTAGAGAACCTCTGCAACATCTATGCTCTATTCCTTCTTCACAAGCATCAGGGTGATTTCCTCTCCACTGGCTATGTCACTCCTAAGCAAGCTTCTCTTGCAAACGATCAGCTCAGATCCTTGTATTCCCAGGTTTGTGCTAAAAATAATTTGCCCTATCTGCCATCTTACTTGTGATGGGTGGGCAATTCCCATTTGATTGCTAACTTCAAATTCACATTTTGCATTAGGTTCGTCCAAACGCCATTGCACTTGTTGATGCCTTTAACTACACCGACCACTTCCTCGGTTCCATTCTTGGCCGTTATGATGGAAACGTCTACCCAAACCTATACGAGGCAGCATGGAAGGATCCTCTGAATGACACAGTTGTGCCGGATGGCTACCGTGAATATATTAAGCCTATGCTGAAGCAACAGCTCCGTATTGCCCGACTCTGAATAATTAAAGCTATATATGTATTGTTTCCATAATTCTGGAAATGCATTTGTAATGCTAATAAAGTTACCTGGATGAGGTGATCTCTGTAGAGGAAACATTAGTAGGTATTATGTGAGCACAATTTTGTGTAACAGTAGAGACTTGTTTCCCGCTATAAATAACTGTTGATAGACAAAGTTGTCATCAACTATGCAGTTATTTTCGTGTAAAATTAGTTGCTAGACAAGTTATACCTGTTACCAGACACACTCTGAAAAAATATAAAGAAATAAAATCACAGATGATTTTGATAAGAGTCCTTTTTCCTACAACAATAATTATTTGATAGTCTTATTGTGATGTTGTGGCCTGAATTTTGAACCATATCGGGTTACTTTACTTTTGTGGAAGGTAATCTTGTCACTTGGAGAAGCAAGAAGGTGGTTTCTAGATCAAGCGTGGAAGCTAAATTCCGAGGTATGGTTCATGGTGTGCGCAAATTATTATGGGTCAAACATGTACTACAAGATTTGGGGATTGATTATGAGAAACCGATGAGTCTACATTGTGATAATAAGGCAACCACTGAAATTTCACATAATCCGATTCAACATAATTGTACAAAACATGTTGAAGTTGATCGTCATTTTATTAAAGAGAATCTTGATTGAAAAGTTATATAATTTTCGTTTATTTGGTCTGAAGTCAATATACAATTTCCGTTTATTTGGTCTGAAAATCAGTTGGCTGACGTACTCACGAAGGCAATTTCAGGAAGTGCGGTGTTCCATGGTGTAATTAGCTAGTTGGGTATGATAGATATCTATGCTCCAACTTGAGGAGAGTGTTCCATGGTGTAATTAGCTCATTGGGTATGATAGATATCTATGCTTCAACTCGAGGGAAATGTCAGCATGAGCTGTATTTCCCAATGTGTAATATATTCTAACCATGTATAGGATTTAGGTAACTTGCTCTCCACACATCTCGTCACCTATTTAAGCCCGTGTATCTATCTTATATATCAACACAATATACAATTACTGTCTCTTCTTTCTAACAAGAAATTTTTTGAACCGTTTTTTGAACCCTATACTTTGAACAATCACATATTCACATGCATTGAAAGAGAAATATAGCATTTTGGACGTACTATTAATTAATATAATTAAATACAAATCTGCCACTTAATGGTATAATAAGCTCACCATGCAAAGTTCTTAGCTGAACATAAACTTCAATTTACTTTTAAAAAAAACCACAATTCATGTTCGTATTACTACTTAAATTTTCATTTCACATCACATGGTCAAATAGTGCTACAATAACAAATCAGAGCACATGAGACCCACTCAAACAATTTAAAATAAGCTTTTGAAGTTTAATTATGTTAAGCTATTTTTGTAATAATGATTCAGACAGTCACAGGGCTGCCCTTGGAATCACTATTAATTCCAAAAGAAACCTCTATGATTAAAAGCACAGCTTAAAGATGATACTACCTCCATCCTTTATTAGTTATTCATTTTTGGTTTTATAACTTTTTAAGGGGACATACAATTAATGCATTGTACTCTTTTAAAATTACCAAATTATCCTTTTTAATTGAAATATATATAGTTACAAAGTTTGAAATTTTTTTAAAAGATAAAAGACAATGATGAAAATATAAAGAAAAGATGCTTTGACTTTTCAAAGAGGACAACTAATTTGGGACATGTAAAAAGAGAAAAATGGACTACTAATAAGGGACGGAGGAAGTAATCAATAATAGCCAAGGTGACATAAACAGAAAAAGTTTATTAATAACTACCATATGATTGATTTAATGATTTACCATAGAAAGTAAAGCATTTGTGCTCAGCTTATTCAAAGGTCAATTCACATTAGTTCGTTAAGCAAACAGGTCAAGATCAAACTTGTTTTGGTGACTTGTCCAGCAAGTTTTGCGAATCAAAGCTTATTGATCAGTAGTCTAATGGTATCATAAAAATAGAGGATTCGAGTCTCCCAAAAACATTATAAAAATTCTAACTTTATCTGGAAAAAAAAAAAAAAAAATAGTATATTTCGCGACCCCAAAATCCTCAAATCGAGTCCATTCACAAACTATTTATCCTTAACTCGAGCTCATTTTATAAAATTTGCTATAAGTCCAAGTTGCACATCAAAGAATGAACTGAGCTTGAACAGTTAGAGCTCAAGCAGCTCAACTGGTTAATTTAAAGTCAGCTACAAAATAGCGACGCCAAATCTTTATTAATTCATCAAAAACTATGTAGGACATATTGTTGAAACTTTTATGAACCGTTAGAACTGTGAAAAATCAAATAATGGAGAAGGCAATTTCTTGGGTACAGCTTCAAAGAGCTTGAACCACCATAAATGATAGAACAAACTCATTTTTCAGTAGCCAAATGAAACAAGCCAAAATGCTGATTTTTAATTGTGTAGCTTGTGTTTTGGTGTGGTACAAAATTGTTGGGTACCATATTTAAAAACTGTATAGATAATTAAATTTTAATGAGTAGGGATCTTGGTGATTATTATACATATATAGAGAGGTGGACAAGACAGACTCTGTTTATTTTGGTCAAGATTTTGTTCGGGAAGAACATGAAATATAATGGCAATTAGACCTCCAGGACTAAATTAAGTAGACATTAATTGTCACAGCTGTAAAGTTTAGATCAAGTGTCATTAATTTAGTCTGTATCAGTCTTTGATCAATTGAAACTAGTGTATTAAAACATTTAAAGAAATAAGTTGGTGAATAATTAGACACTTGTGTTTGTCACAATTTTTTGTTTATTTTTTAAGAAATTTATATATATTTTTGGATATTTATTAATTAACGTGTTCGATCAACTGTTGGTTTCATGCGTGGGTTGGATTCCTAGGGTTATAATGTCACTCTGTCACCACTGTTGGATACCTACTCTTGTATCACCTGTTGTTAACTTGTTATGATCCCAAAAAATTAGAAAAATTAAATAATTATTATAAAGTAAAATATTGGACAAGTGTTTCTTGCCTCATTTCTACCATAAAAATTGTAAAATGGAATGATCAAATTCTTCATTTCAGTCGTGTTGCTCTAGAACGTTTGGGTTACTTTTCATGTTTGGTCGTTGCACCTGCTCCTCCCGTCTAATCATAATCCTAACATTCTTGTCATGAAAAGTAAATAATAAATAAAACTCATAGGCACTTTTGATTTGACACGTATAATGGTATTAATACAAGAGAATGGAACATGTATATTTCATTATTAACTTTTGAATTCAATGATTAATTTTTAGCTAGACAAAAATTATGAAAATTATTGGAGTTATTTTTAGGTGGGATGATCTAATTTTTCTAAGCCACAAAGTTCTTCATAATAAGTAAGGGTGGAAGATCCCAACTAAACTTTTTGGCTCCCTCAGAAAGCAGAAACAATTCTTACGCTATACAGATATAATATTATTCACTTTTGGCTCCCTCAGATCAGGAACTTTTTAAGGAGTCACTTATCTTGGTAATATACCAAAGAAACAACCTTCACCCTATACAAATATAGTATTGTCCATTTTTAGCTCTCCGACTAACTTTAAAATATGTTGTGTCATAGAAGGGTATAGATACTACATATATCAATCACTTCACATTTGACTCCCCCAAATCAAAGACTTCCTAGGGAATCACCCGTTCTAGTATTACTTCAAGTTGAGTAGGCTTAATTGCGGAGTTCTGATGGGTCACGGCTTTAAAACACCCATCCAAACATAATATTATCAGTTTTTGGCTCTCCCGGACCAGAGACTTCTCAAGTGTCACCCATCCTGGTACTACTTCAGGTTAAACACACTTAACTATGGAGTTTTGATGGGTTCACAGCCATCACGACTTTAAAACGTGTTGTGTTATAAAAAGATGTAGAATATACATATGGCAACAATGTGAGATCATGAGACCCTGTAACATGCCTGTGCTCACCCACATCACATCCACCCACAAAAGTCGTCACATGTTAAAAACAAATTAATTGTGTTGAAAAATTACAACACACTACAAGTTGCTACAACAAAAAATCACAATAAGCTTGTGCTACGATCTATCAATCATAGTGACATTGGAAACTTAGTTTGATTAAGCAAACTTTGGATCAAAATTGGACTTGGAAAGTTTTGAGGCGGTTCACGTTGGATTTAGAGTTTGTAATAAATGAATGTAGTACTCCCTCTGTCCCATTTTAAGCAAGTGCAACCGATGTCTATTCAGATCGTGGTAGTGCAATTGTCAATTGTTCAGGCCAAATAGGTGCACCCAATTACTATTCGAATTGACCCGAAAATGCACTAGTTTCTCTATAAATAACCCTTTTTGCTAACATTTTCATTTGCACATTTCAGAAAATTTTTGCTGTTTTCTCTAGTTGAAGTGCTGCCGATTAGAAGAATGATCCCGATAACTTTCTAGACAATCGCAAGAAAAGTCCACTCAGTACCAAGCAGAAAAAATATTGTCTTAAAAGACATAATACAATTCTAGGTCCAATCTAGAATTAGTTCTTTATTTATTGTTTTTTTTTTCATTCTGATTTTTCATACTCTATCTGTCTCAATTTAGATATCACTTTTAGGAAGTAGAAATTTTTAAGAGGACATGCCTTGTTTCCTTAGAAAGTACTATGAATATTCAAGTTTGAAATTTTAAACTCCAAGGACATACATGAAAAGAGGTAAAATATAGTATTTGAAAAAAAAAAGGTGACAACTATTTTAAAAAAAAAAAAAAAAAAAAAATTGTCATTTTTTTCGAAACAAATGGAGTATTTATTAAACAGCAGCATCCGGCCCAAACATTATTTTACTCACGAATGCTCACATTATCAATTCATCGGACGCTGTGCTAACTTGTTAACAATCCATATCATGGGAATATCATGCCGAAAAAACATTAAAAGAAGATCTTAACTGCGTAGCATTGTGCATCATTTTCTGAAAATTTTAAAAAATCTGTGTAGTAGATGAATTATATGAGAACTATTATAAAATAAAGCAAGATATTTTCAATTTTTTTTTACTATTATAAAATAAAGCAAGATATTTTCAATTTTTTTAAAAAAAAAAATTGCATATGGCCGGCTAACTTTATGAGGTGTAATGATGGTATGTTATACCAATAATGGTATTGACAATTTTCTATTGGAATACAAATTCTAAGTTGGGCAATTCATGAATACAAAGTTTATCATGTCGAGTACATTTAATGATTAATTTATGTATATTCTATAATCTATCAACCAAAATGCGTTCTATCATTGCTTGCA